TTCTCAATGGAGAGAGGTTAAAGGCATTCCCTCTAAGAACAGGAACTAGGCAAGGATGCCCACTATCACCTCTCTTATTCAATATTGGATTGGAAGTCTTAGCGATGGCAATAAGACAAGAGAAGGGAATAAGAGGTATCCAAATTGGCAAAGAGGAGGTAAAAATATCTCTCTATGTAGATGTTATGATAATATACATAGTAAATCTTAAAGACTCAGCAAGAAAACTATTGGACACAGTGGACCAATTCAGCAAAGTGGCAGGATACAAGATCAACATACAAATATCAGTTGGATTTCTCTACAGTGACAAAGAGAATACAGAGCCAGAACTAAGAAAAACAATACCATTCAAATAGCTAATCACAAGATTAAATACTTGGGAATAAATTTAATCAGAAGCATAAAGGATCTATTAAAAATTACAAAACATTACTACAAGAAACAAAAAAGACATCTTGAGAAGTGGAAGAATATCCCTTGCTCATGGATAGGAAGACGCAATATTGTGAAAATGGCAATACTACCACAGGCAATTTACACGTTTAATGCAATCCCAATACAAATACCAATCCCATTCTTCAAGGAGATGCAAAAGGCAATCTCCACTTTCATTTGGAATGGAAAGAAGACCCAAATAAGCAAAGCATTACTTAAAAATAGAAGAAAGATAGGAGGTATCTCACTCCCTGATTTCACTGTCTTGGTGGTTAAGACAGCATGGTACTGGTACAATGACAGACACATAGATCAAAGGAATAGAAATGAGAACCTGGAGATCAGCCCATCTATTTATGGTCAACTGATTTTTGTCAAGGAGATGAAATCAGTTAAGTGGGGAAACGACAGCCTTTTTAACAAATGGTGTTGGCAAAATTGGAAAAGTATCTGCAAAAGACTCAAGCAAGATCCACACCTTACTCCATATACAAAAACCAACTCAAGGTGGATCATGGATCTAGGACTAAAACCAAGGACTATAATCTTCATTAAAGAAAAGCT